GGTGCTTGAGCAGGCGGGGGTGTTGGATTACGGGTGTAGGTTTTTCATTCTTTCTTTTTTTGTATTTCAAGCCGCGGGGTTGAGCTTTTACAAGGTTCTGGTTGTAGACCGATCGCCGGATTCTCGGCTGTTTTTTGTCTGTTTTTTTCGCGCGAACCCAGAACTTGATTTTTTTTTTCCCCGCGGGCATATTGTTAGAGGGGGTACAATGAAAAGCATGGTGAGAGACGATGGATTGTTTTCTTATTATTATTATACACTCATGCTTGTGTTATCAGTACATTCATAAAGTAGAGTAGAGCTTACGGGAGCTCCCGCAACCGACGGTACAATCCAGAATTTTATCTTGGTAGATAAGAGATTTTTGTGGCAAATTGGCATATGTGATACCTTGAAAACACAGAGTGGCTGCCAGGAGACGATCAAAAAGGGGTAACTGCTACAAATAGATGAGCGGGGAATGTTTGCGTGTAATGCTTCGTATGCATGCGTCCATGCCAAGACTACTTCGTGTTTTAGGACTTTCGAGGTTCGATAGCGGAACGTTTCAATGGCTGGCATGATAAGGGTCCTGGCTACATGTAGCTACTGAAGTCTGTACTCTTCACATCAGTCTCTTCACAGCCCACTCGTTTTAGCTACTGAAGTCTGTACTCTTCACATCAGTCTCTTCACAGCCCACTCGTTTTAGCTTGAGGGCCCTGACGTTCTTCTCCTCAATCAATCTTTAATTCTCACAGTTCTTTCTATACTAATCAGTGATTCTTCTACAAATCTGAATCCATCATTCTATCTAACTTTCCTTCTTTCTTTTCTTCTAACCCACACCCTCGTTTTGTTTGTGTAAAGAGCGGAAAAAGCCACAGTATCCACGATGCCAGCTGAAAAATGTTAGTTTTTCACCCAACCCACCACTCCTCGCTATCGCACCCTCTTTCCTGCCGATAACAACTCGTTACTCTGGAGATAAGCTTTGACTAACACTAACCTAAAGACGGAGCTATCCTGGACGCTGGGTCGAGCGGTACTCGCATTCATATCTACCGCTGGGACGACCCCGAGAAGGCCCGTAAAAAGGCAACTAAAGATCAGCTCTCAGGTCTCCCTGAGATCACAACAAGTAAAAAATGGGCAAAAAAGATACATCCCGGTATTCCCTCGAATCATCGCTGCAATATAGTTGGCAAACGAAATCCTAATCCGATTCTATCACAGGTATCTCGACATTTGGCGATCACCCTGAAGATGTTGGTCCTGATCATCTCGCAAAACTTTTTGGGCATGCATTAGAGCACATCCCAAAGGATTCAATAGCGGAAACACCACTCTTTTTGTTAGCAACCGCGGGAATGCGGTTGCTTCCTGACATGCAACGTCGGAGGTTGCTAGATGAAATCTGCACGTATGCGCGGCGCAACACAGAATTTCTACTACCCGACTGCGGTGTGCATATACAGGTTATTTCCGGTGAGACCGAAGGCTTGTACGGGTGGATTGCCGCAAACTATCTACTGGGCGGATTTGACGACCCTGCAAAGCATGCACATGGAAAAGGACATCATACCTACGGATTTTTGGATATGGGGGGTGCTAGCGCGCAGATTGCGTTTGCACCAAATGCGACGGAAGCGGCGAAGCATGCGGAAGATCTGACATTACTAAGGATGAGGACATTAGATGGAACACCTATGGAGTTTGGAGTTTTTGTTACAACATGGCTTGGGTTCGGAGTCAACCAAGCTCGGATACGATATGTGGATAGTCTTTTACTGGCAAGCGGTGGGAATGGCGTCACAGAGTTACCGGATCCCTGTTTACCTGTCGGATTAAAGCTCACATTAGATGGGAAGGAGATCGACCCCCAAGACATGAAGGCTTTAGAGGAGGAGCACCTGGTGGGAACCGGCAAATTCGAGGAATGTCTCTCTCAAACCTATCCTCTGCTCGCAAAGGATGGACCATGTTCAGAGGTTTCATGTCTACTCACAAGCAAACATGCCCCCGCAATCGATTTTGACATCAATCACTTCGTGGGCGTATCAGAATATTGGCACACCACTCACGAAATCTTTGAAAGTGACTTTAAAACGAAGTCTTACGACCTCTCAACGTACCAAGCCCGAGTCAAGGAATTCTGCAGCCAGGATTGGCCTCACATTGAAGACCTCATAGAGGAACATAAATGGGGTAAAAAGGTAGATGAAGAAACCGCCGCGGCAGTTTGCTTCAAAGCGTCATGGCTCATTAACGTCCTGCACAATGGCATTGGAATCCCGCGAGTCGGGCTAGAACCAACTGGCAGCTCAAGGCATAATATAACAGAAGAGGTCATCGATGCCGCTAAAGACAAAGGCTTCATCAACCCATTCCAAGCCGTTGATAAAATTGGAGATGTGGAGGTCTCGTGGACATTGGGTAAGATGATTCTTTATGCTTCTAGCAAGGTTCCTCCCAAGGACAACACTGTAATGGCAGTCGGTTTTGGAAGCAATACTGCCCCCAGTGTCAACGGTCTGCCTAGTGACTTTGAGTTTGCCTCTTCGGAGGCGGAAAACTCACCATACCATCTCCCGCAGCCGGGTCAGGCAGGCAATAGCGGTAATACAAATAACAGCATGGATAGCGAGGGTGATTCGTCTCACTGGCACGACAATCTTTGGAATGAAGGCGATAAAGTCCCACGCCGAATTCCTGGAATTGTACTATTCCTGCTTATCTTCTGCATAGCAGGATTTCTCCTCTTAGGTCGAGAGCGCAGGGGGAAGATCTGGCGTAGCATTATCGTTTCAGGCAAGAACAGCAAGCGAAAAATCCTTGGACCCAACGGTGGGGTTATATATGAGCGAGTGATGGAAGAAGGGCATGATGCCAGCGGGGCGGAGTTTGAACTGGGAAGTGTTTCATCCTCATCTGACGAGGAGGAGATTGGCTGGAAGGGCAAAAGCGGAATGTATGATCCCCCGTTGGGAAGTGCTGGTGTGAATGCTATAAGATCGGGTATGGGGTCGAGGGTAGGGAGTAGAGAGAGGCTACAAGTTTCCAGCAGGAGCAGGAACGTCTCGCCGAGTAGAAGTGGAGTACCGAGGACCAGAAGCCCCTTGCCGCCGCGTAATTAGATTATCCACTTGGTTTTTTCCTCCTTTTTTCCCTCCTTTTTTCTTTTGTTTTATACACGTTTCGTTTGTATCAGGCAAGTTTTTGGGTCATTAGTCTTGTTCTCTCTTTCTTTGGAGATAGGAGCTTCCTTTATTATTTCCAGCACTTTCCCTCTCGTCGGTGGGGATTTTGCCTTTTTATCACTTTAACCGGTTAGTGTTCTTGATTGGTGTTTTTCCTCTTCTCTTCAACTTGGGATGTATAAAATTCATGACTTGGTTTTGATTAAAGTGTAAAGAATAAATTTATGTAGAGCTCAGTATAGCTACCTGTGGCGTCTTAATTTCAAACCGAAGATTTACCAAAACTTTTGAACAGGAAGATCAGAAGTGTACTCACAGTATAGCCAAAGACTCTCACACTTTCTCTAATTATATACGGTTAATAGGAGATACTCCCACTAAGTGGGTGGAAACAAAATACCATGTAATGAACTAACCATTAAGCAACTCCGAACACCTCTATCCGTCTACCCTTGTGCAATCTACTCATCGTCCCTCTCAAGGAATGTAGGATCATACTCAATCTTCTTTTCAAACTTGACCCACCAGTCCTGGAAGCTCTTGAGCGGGACTACATCCCCGCTCGGGCTTCCTGTCGCAAAGCTCGACAAGAAATTGAACGCATCTTTAATGATTCTCCTGGCGAGTACCGTCGTCGGCGGCGGGCCCATAGAGCTCTTCACCACCAGTGCGCCCTCGAGCGCTGCTACCTGCGCCTGCACGCTCTCTAGAGGCTCCACTGAGATTCCCAGTATCGCCTCGCCCTCGTCGACGGCAAGCGCCGCGGCGCCGTCCATCATACCATCTGCACCCTCGGTGCTTTGAGCTGCGCCCGCCGTAGATCGAAGCCGGAAGATGGCGCTCGGCTTCGAGAGCGAGATCGCGCCGAGGAGCTGGAAGGGCCTGTTGGGGAATTGGATGTGGACTGTCGCGCCGTGGGTTGGAGGTAAGAGCGCGGCAGCCTCCGGAAGCAGGAAAACGACAAGGTGGTTGATTGTGGAGGGTGAGGGGAGATGGAAAATAAATTGCGTGTCGGAAACGGCCTGGATGTTGGTTTGGACTGGGACTTGTTAGTTCAACTGGTGGAGATGAGGATGAGGAGGAGAGGATGGGGAGGTGTACCTGCGCGGCCGGCGCAGATAGCTCCGAACATTGTGGGTTTGATTTAGTAGGCGATACTGTACTGTGCCAGTTGTGTTGTTGTTGCAGTGTTTAAGGGCCTTCTTGAGGTTGATGCTGGTGGGGTTGTGGTGCTGGTGCTTTCTCCAGGGTGTGCTGAGTGCGGAAAGAACGTCATCGATCGATGATGGAAGCTTATCCTTGCTGTGCAGCACCCCTACAGCCCTTAACCTCCACGTGACGAATGCGAGTTGCTACAACTGTATGTACTTTAGTGCCTACTCCTGTTCGTCAAGCTGGAAGATCCTCAGGCCCTTTGATTTCTACTGGCCCAAACTCTCGTGTAACGAATGTAGAGAAGGAAGTACCTATTCATAATGTGTCACTCGGCCTTGGCAGCAGCTGACGTCACGAAGCTTAACTGTCCAAAGACCGATTAAAGATAGAATTGGTGTGATTTTATAGAAAGCAGGAATACGATAATCAGCCCAAGCGATACAGGGTAGAAGGAAGAAGGAAATATCATCTTAAATTTATCCCACTCAAGTCTCAACTCTCGCTCCCTCCTGCATACATGTAGCTACTCCATAACTATAATACAAATGCAATCCGTTATCCAACCTCATTTAGCCTGCTTAAATCTAGCATCACACCAGCGAGAAAAGAAAAGAAAAGGGAAGGGAAAAGATATAAAAAAAAAGGCATAAGGGAAAAAGAATTCTGTTATAAGCTTCCATAGAACGAATCGCCAGGATCTTTCAGGAAACTGGCAACATCCTCAGCCATTTGACGCATAAATGCTTCATCAGGCTCGAGATCTACTCCTCCGTCGAGTCCGTATTCTCCTTCATGATGTTGTTGCTGAATAGCCTCTGCATCTTCATCATCCCCAGTAAGATCTACCATCTCCCTCTGTGTATTCTGCAGCATTTGATTAGATTGCTGTTGAAGCGCCAGTCCCTCCATACCATGCTCGATACCGCCCCTTTCTAGTGAGAAACTGGCGGGAACCGAAGTAGTCAAGACATCGTTTCTCTTGCCGGTTCTACACCATCCACGGCTTGAAGCCGCCCCAGCATTTCCCATCTCATTCATCTGGGTTGCAACCTCGTCCCAGGTACCGCCCTGTAAGGTTTGCTGGAAGTGTTCTCTGCCCTTGAGGAACGGTATCAACAGCGAGGATTCATACCACCTCCCCTTGATGTCTTCAAGTTTTATGGTATGGGCTGCGTGAACCAACTTCCAAGTCGAGAGAATAGGTTGAGGGGAGGTGGGCATAGACGTGACCCGATTCCGAAGAGTAGTCTCCCTAATTAATCTCTGTGGCAACCAATCCGGGAGCAGTGGCGATGGTGCTTCGCCGGCGCGGTATGAAAGAAGCGTGTATACGTCACCAATTACAGTGACATCTGTAGATTTACTCCTCGTATTACTCGCCGAAGGCTGTAACCGCACGTCTTGGATACTTGCAATCACCATAATCTCCAATCCAGACGCAGGAGCGGACGGATTCAACCTTTTCAACCGTACAACGTCACCGATGTAGAGTTTTTCGGCCCCATAAAATACTCCGGCGTAGTAGCTGCAACCGCCATACTCAATCCTGTCAACTAGATTGAAAGAAGAATCAATGTCCCTGGATTTCATAATGCTCGCATCAACTTCGAGGCCTCGGACACCGTGGAATTGCTCCCACACCACATCGTCATATGACTGGATATTCCGTAGGGGTATGTTATTCAAGTCGGGTGTACTCCACGCCAACCAGGGTCTAAGACTGGCCACAGTAATTCCGGGATAAGGTGTTGACATTGCAGCATCAAGCGGGGATTTCAATACCTGAACAGTATAGCTTTGCTGTGGCTGAGAGTTATTTGTTACTTGTAAAGGCCCGGCTTCGGGTCCTGATACAATTATACCAAGAGACCAAGCTTCAGTGCATTGACACCAAACAAGCTCCCCAGGTCGAAAAATATATGGACCACCCAGAGCATAAGAAATCCTTTCCGGAGTAGTAGGCAATTGTTCCAGAAAGTAAAAAGGAAAAGGCGGCGGCGTGGGAAGTATAGGCGCTGCAGGCGCGGTGGATGTTGTGGGTGCGGTAGGTGCAGTGGGCGCAGTAGGCGCAGTAGGTGCAGTGGGTGCAGTGGGTGCAGGTGCTGCAGGTGCTGCAATTGGAGTAGAAGAGCGAGAGTTAGCCGCTGTCGATAGCGAGCGTCGAGTAGCAACAGCTGGCGTAGTTGTGTTTTTCCTCGTCGTAGTAGTCGAGGCTGATGCGAGCTTCGACCTTGTAGCTGGAACATTATGAGCCGTTGCTGCAGGCTTTTCCTTTATAACAGCAACGGCGGTACTCCTCGGTGGAGTCGGTGAACTTGGGGCCTCTGGCGTGTCGGGGGCAGCTCGACCGCTACAGACCCGGCATTTACAGTTTTCCGGATTCTTACTCGGATCTGTTGCCAACCAGACAAAATGTGGCTGAAAGTCCGCGGCAGATCTATAGCGCTTCCTAGGCCCTTTGGGATGGCCATAGAGGTAAGTATCGATTCGAGCTTTACCTTCAGTACCCTTTAGAGGTCAGTCAGAAAAGTCGAGTACAGGGGATACTATTCATTGGTAATCTTACAGGGCCTGGTTGTTTGACATGCTCATATAACCTGTAATTCTCGGGGAGACTCATGAGGCATATCTTCTTATTCTTGTACTGTTTGTACATCTCTGGGTCCTTGGACTCTACGAGCCACCCTGCCATCTTACATAACCAGCTGATTTCCTTCTTACTGTATGGTTCGATTGGCCGTAGGTAGTCCTGGTTGCCCTTCTCATCTGGCGTCACGTCAAGCATCTCCTCCGTCGGGCCGTTTACACCATCTTGCCAGGTTGTTGTTCCATCCGACCAGTCTAGTGACAAGATCAATGCAGGTGGATCATCCATCTTCACGATCGTGACTTCGTGAATCGTGAAAGGAGAAAGGAAGGAAGATATTCCTCTTTTTCTGGGGCGATATAGTTCTAGGAAGCTCCGAGGAAATCAGAAGCACGATAACGGTGATATATTTCGTGAGGGAGACAGTTACCTTCTTCCCCCCCCCCCTGCTGTATGCTGGTGTCGCTTTCTTCTACCCCGTGTTGTTGAGCAATTCAGCTAGTTATGAGATGGAAAGTCGAACGTATGTTTGCTGAGCTCGGTGTTTCCTTGAGCCTAGCAACTAGGACAAGTGTGCTCCGATTCTAGAACGCGAAAGTTTAGTTTGAGGTTTGTGGGATTTACGCATTGGCAGAGCCGCAAAGGATACTCTCCACAAAGGGGTTAGCGCTAATTAGTAATCTGCAGGTTGTCAGCTCCATTGTTCCCTGGAATTAATGCTGTTCCATGGGTTGGGCCGACTTTTTTCCTCTTTCACCTCCATCGCTTCTTGCCCTCAATATAATCAATTTCATAACACCATCATCGTCACTCCAATTTCAATTTTTATTTACTATGACATCTAGTGATAGGAAAGTATAGCCGCCCAAAAATTAAAATTTTAAATTTTTTTGTTGTGGTGGCTTTGCAGGTGGCACTTGCTTATTCCATGAAAAACCATCTGGTTTTGGAGGGTAACAGGAGGTTTTCATTCCTCAAATCCATAACAATCGCTGCAACCGAACAGGGCCTATGAGTCCTATCAGATCAGTACTGGTGTTCTTACTCTACTCTGGTCACGGATCCCACAACGGAGCACCATAGAGTACGCACGAGCAAGTGACCTATATCGGTTTATGAATGCAATGAATTTTACTAAAGCAATACGATAGAATTCTTATTTATTGTAGATCACAACACATCGACGGCTGAATTAAATGTGAGTATTTACATACGGTTTTCTCAACAATACTAACTGAATTGAATAGTTCGGCTCATGTGCTTTGAAGCTATGAAAAAGCATATCAAATTTCGCCTGCCCTCACGGATACAGCAACCTTACTGAACGATAGATACATGTACATGTACATAGGATAACCTCCTCACTAGCTGGCATGCTCAAAATCGTATCTGCTTCCCTCGATTGTAGTTCCCCAAAGTGGCAATTCTCGTTCAATGTTGATAGAGTAGAGTAGAATAGATATGCCCAGGCGCTGGCCAAGGACCGTGCGTGAACACGCACATGGATTTCGGGTCGCAACGTGGCCCTCATGATCAATAAATAAATAGGTACTCTAGAAATACATGTATATGTACGCAAAGACCAATATTCTCGATAGGTATTTCTCGGAAACGTCATAGGAGCCATGATATTCTAGAGTAGTAATCACATATAGCGCGTCGGATCGCGCAATGTATTCTAAACTTCTCGTGATGGCGGTGCATATGTCCTTTGTTGAATCATGAAATAGTTTATTGAGAGAATCGATTAATAATATATGTGGTTATATTGGTAGATTATATATACATACATGTATGTTGCAGTGCTAGCTACGTACTTTAGGTGGGAGATTCAATATCTCGTGATGGCCTACCTACTGTAGATTTGTCTCCGAGTGATGTTTTATGATATAGGGGATGAGATCTTTAACCTGCCTAAGAAGGTCGGATGTTGCCGATGTGCCGATGCAGCAGGGTTTCCCCGGAGGTGGGGAGCACAACCATGGTCTAACTTCACATCCATGCCTTATTTCAAGGTGAGTCTGATTGGTCCCCGCCGAGACCTCGAGTGACAGGAGATCTGAAGTTCTACATGATCAGATATAATATCAATGCAGTGATTTACGCTACGGTTTCTCTCCTAAGTCCATGCGGTTATAGCTATATACTCTACTCCAGCACTTGTATCCGATCTAGACTCGACACGGGAATCTGGCAGGAGAAGTTACATTTGAATCCGGGAGTTTGGTTCTTATCTCACAATTGGGAAAAATCTGTCGAGGTGAGCCACATGGATGCATAAAGATGGGTAAAAGTTACACGGTGGTCCTGTGTAGGGAAATCTGTAGGATTTCAGTGCGGAAATACTTTGTGCGGTGGGGGGTGAGGGGTAAGAGGGCATGCAATGGTCTTATCTCAGAAATATGCTATGAGAACTGATCACTAAGCAATAAGCCAAAAGTGTCCTCATGATGTTGATCTGCGGCACCGGCAGGCTGAAAATAATAAAGGTAAGATTTCCTAAATGCACTGGGCTTATGGGTTTCTCGCTGTCATGGGATGGGCCCATTTCCTCTACACAGATCTGAGAAAAATTCGAATACATCAGTACATGCAGTCTAGTAGAGCAAAATCTGTGAGCTGAGAGAACCTGTTGATGCTTCCAAAGAATGTAAACACCCCTTCTTTTTTAAGATCCAAAGTGTATTTGCTAACATTCCGAATGCCGTTGGTACCTCGGGTTAACTGCTTCTGCATTTGTGTTACAATGTGAGTGTATGCGGCTGCAACCCACCGTGCACCTCAAAACCTCGCTTTCCCACCTTCTTGTCATGTCCTACCCCGAAGTAATGTGGTAGTTACATGTAGTACATGTAGATCTTTACTTGAGGTATAATAACAGCCGGAATTGCAAGTCACACGCGCAATGTTCTCCAAAGATAGGTACATACACGATCATGATATCGATTCGAATTCTAGGTCTTTTATCTAGATATGAAATCTTTTCGAGATATGACAAAGATATGGGAAGAAAACGAAAGCTGCGACCGAATAAACTTCTATCATCTCACTTGGCTTGTAAAAATCCACCTTATTATGCTCTACTACCTAAATGTAAATATAAAACCCTTTTACCTTACATAAAGTTTAACGCCAGGAGTGTCCAGCTTGAAGATACAATGCGTAATACTCTACATGCACGTACATGTATGTACATACATGTACTTAACTCCGCATGCAACCTACTCTAGTAGGCCTAGATGCATCTCTATTCTGATGGACTACATGTACTCTACATACCAGCGCCCCTCGAGCAACCTCTACCTTCGATGTAAGAGCATGGAGAACACTAAATTACTAGAGATTTGAAGTTTTCCAAGGAGGATTCGGCAATTCCACATCCGAACATACTTGATTTGGTAATGTACTTTAGGGTTAAGTACGTATCAAAAAAAAAAAATGGTTTATCATCAAGTTATCAATCACAAAGGTCTGACTGATATATACATGTATATATAGCTGTGTACTCTACGGTTTCCGATGTAAATAGAACGCAAAGTAAATCCCGATTGGTACTTAGAGGCTTGTCTTCGTAAACTACAGAAGGAATATATGTGTAGGAAGTTTCGGGGGATAAATTATAAAATTTGTCAATACAGAGAAGTGATTCACAATTCATACATGATGGGCCGGAAGTGGCTGGGATTCCGAGCGAGAGTATCTACATACAAGATCCTGCACGCCCCACTGCGCATATATTACTTGAGGAATATGAGCTAGGAAGCAAGCCCACTAGTACCCCGCAGCCATTAGTAGAGGTGTCTTCTTTGGCGAGCTGCAGCCACCTCCATCCTGAGATTTTTCGGGACACTCCTGATTCTACTTCCATCCGACCCACACACTCTAGCCCTCCAAATTGCATGTGCGTGGAAATATGGTATATACAGCCGCACTTCTCCTGTAATCCCAATTTTTGTATTAGAACCATTCAATCGTACATTTAAACTGACTTGTAGGCGAAGAGGAAGAAGCAACTGAGATACTCAAAGGCTATATCCATATAACCATGTCAAGCTGTGATACATCCCACGCAGCAACTCTTGACATCGAAAATACCACGATGACTGAGCGTACACCTCTGCTGTTAGTTCCGGCGAACACATACACAGCTGTTTCAGAGGAAGATTCTCAAGAAGATACTGATGTTTTGTTCCCAATAATAAGCAAAGTCGTTAGTGTTGGTGCATTAGGAGTAGAGTCTCGGTCTCTCCCGGTTCTGGGCATTAATTTAGATTCAGAGGATGGACTGAATCTAAAGGAGGATGACGTATCAACGTTAAATGGAACTGCTTTTCATGGTGGAATATCAAAACGAAAGTTTTGGATTATCTTTACAGGTTCGTAAACTCCACCTATTTTCTTCTAAACCTGGTTAAACCACTAATATTTATGTAGGGATTCTTATTGCCAATTTTGTACGTGATCTCCAAGCCCGTGGTGAACTATATCGAAATTTTAATACTAGCTGTATCACACTAGGTGGCGGCCGCCGACTCGACAATAATGGCCTCAACACATACATCAATAACATCTGCGTTTAATTCTTCGAATGCTGCCTCCTGGCTATCGACATCCTTCATGCTAACGTCGACATCATTCCAGCCACTATATGGCCGGATATCTGATACTATTGGAAGAAAAATCCCATTCGTATTTTCGTGCTTTGTGTTCACAGTCGCTACCGCATGGTGTGCACTAGCTGGAAGTATGGGAAGCTTTATTGCTGCTAGAGCAGTATGCGGTATTGGTGCCGGGGGGATGTTGACAATGGGTTAGTGGGGGTCAGAAGGAACATAACATAACAGCATAATGAATACAGCTAATTAAGCTCCATAGGCGCTATTGTCTTAAGTGATATCTTACCAATTGAAATCAGAGGAAACTACCAGAGCATTAATAATCTCGCATATGGAACGGGCTCAGCGTAAGCAGATCCAAAGTTTACTCGAAGAGGTATGTAAAACTTACAATTGGAACAGATTAGGAGCAGCGGTCGGGGGATTCTTAGCAGATTCAATAGGCTGGCGATGGGAATTCGGGGTAGGTTTCTTTTTTTTTTTTTTGCTACAAAACGACCTTGGCGGCCAGAAATTGCTAATTAGGTGATGACAAAATCACATAGATTCAAGTGCCATTTGGTATATTCTGTATGGTTGTATGTATGTGGACAATTCCAAGTCCAGAAGAACTGGGTAATACCATCGAAATGGGTACATGGGAAAGATTTACTGAATTCGATTTTGCTGGTTCGCTTTACTTGGTAAGATTAACTTTCTGATTGCTTAAATAATACCAATTGACAAAACCATGCAGACAACGAGTGTTGGTTGTTTGATTTTGGGCATGAGTCTCGGAGGCAACATCTTTCCTTGGACTCACCCTATTGTCATTGTATCCTTAATCATGAGTTTCGTCCTCGGAAACCTACTATTAAGAGCGGAGAAAGTAGCGAAGTCGCCAGTAATGCCTCTTGAGCTTGTTTGGGGTAAACCACGCGGAAATCTTATTTTCAACAATTTCTTTGCTGCCGTTACTATCAACACAGTAAGATCTTCATAGAATCTCACTCGAACAACTATCTAATTTCTTCGCTCCTTCAGGTATTCTTCAATCTGCCGCTATATTTTCAGACAGTCCTCCTGGAATCTGCTACGGCAGCAGGCACACGTCTTCTTGTTCCTAGTCTGGCAGGAACCACATCGGCGGTTGCGACAGGAATAATAATCACCCAAACAGGCCGCTTGAAGCCTATTCTTTTCATAGGTTCCATTCTAGTAATCGTTGGAGCAATCTCTTTATGTTGCATGGACCGATTCTTTCCTGGGTGGGTCTACTTTCTCTTTCTTGTCCCGACCAACCTGGGTGTAGGGTTCGTTTTCCCGTCGGCCTTGATGAGTGTTCTTGCGACCTCGTCCCAAAACGATCAAGCAGTGGCAACCAGTACTTTGATTTTATGGCGTTGTTTGGGAAGCGTTATTGGTGTGGCAAGCAGCAGTTTAATAGTCCAAAACTTCCTCCTTTATTTTTTGGAAAGAAGAATCACAGGGGAAGGGAAAAGGGAAGTGATTGAGAAGGTTAGAAAAAGTGTCACCGCTATTTTCGATTTACCAAAGGAGACCCAAAACCAAGGTTAGTTTGTGATTTAGCAATGAACTTTGAAGAAATGCTGGGTCGAAAGATATTAACCTCTAGAGGATTTAGTCATTAGCTCATACGACTCATCACTTCGATTGTGCTTCCTGTGGAGTGTTTTCACTGCAGTAATAGCATTTGTGCTTATAGCAGGGATTCAACTCCCATCATTACGGAGCTTGCCTACGGTTAAAGATGTCGAGAACGAGTGCAGTAGAAGAACAGGGGATGACTACCAGAAGCTAGATGATTGATAATAACGATAGTCGTAATGAGGGCATTTGAGGGAGGAGGGTGTAATTCGATGAACTCGGTGGAGCTAGGTGTAATTTCGCGCTTTGGATAAAGGTTTGCGATAGAATGAAGTGTTTCGGGTAGAGCAAAATTCAAAAAGTTTTTTTTCTCTTTAATTTCTTTCTCTCTTTTTTTTTTTACCGAGGTGCTTCAGCAGATAAAATATAATCCCGTCGTAGGCTACTTATTGAATTAGCTTGACGCTATACCAAGGGATTTTGTAATAGTGGACGACTTCCCATTAGTATTCTGTGAGCTGCAAACATGGTCTAAACGCCTCCAAACCCGTATTGATAAGAATGGTAAAAGACCACGATGTCACGGATCTTTTTTATATGTACTCTATCGATGTAGGATTTGAATGCCACAGCGGGCAAGATTTTCTGAGTGCCACAGCTGCAGCTTTACGCCAGTGACCGGTAGGGAACCGATTCAAAGCTAGAATGCTTTATTGAACCTCTAGCTAATGACTCCGACCCTCCAGCTCCGGCCTTATAACCCTGGATTCTTCGACTTGCGACCTGCAAGCTTCCAACTCGCAAGGTGTAGAGCAAGTCGCTGAATTGTGTCTGGTATTCCCGGCATATTTTTTGACAGTGGTGGTTCCGGATAGGGAGATTCAAAAAGTCTTTCTCGCTATGGCATTTATTTAGTATTTTATCGTTATAAGAAATGATGTGTTGCCGAATAATTACTGGTTGCCAACAGGCTGGCTGGGCCCCGAATGTTTCTGCTCTTCTTTGATCATGAAGTCTGCCTCGCGACTACTTGGATTATGATTATGGATCATAGATATATTCAACAATCATGGGGTGCTCGATATTGGGGTGCTCGATATTGGGGTGCCTTCGGTACCCCTTTCTCCTTACCAATGACATCCGGGATCTCCTTCGCTCCCCTCTCTAAGTTGACCTATAAAAGGGATTGACTTCGAGATTTATATGTGCCAAGGAATGACCGCCAGAGACTACGCCGGGAGATGCTCCCAGGCTGTGGTGGATTTGCCTGGATAATCTTTGATTTCATAGCAAACTAAACTTAGATAGGTAACTTTGTACCATTCCACCCGCGACCCCCTCTGTCTTCGACACTGGATGCCAGCAGGCTGGGCTGGCCCCGAATGTTTCTGCTTTTCTTCGACCACAATACTATACATGGAACCACCTTGTGAGAGTTATTACACTGCCTATATATGAATATATTTCTTATGCGAATAGAATTCTGACCTTTTAAGTAGCCAGTTAATGGGGGCCTTATGGCCCCCCTTCCCCTCTTTCCCCCAGGTTCATCGTTTGGTTGCCTAAAGTTCAATAGAGAGGTCTTATATAAGAAATATATGCCAAGGAGTGATATACTAGTATACCAGAGATTATGACATAGATACCGGACAAAGCTCCTAGGCTCGCAAAAATGAATCTGGCTCGCTGAATAATCATCATTCATAGCGAACTAAACTTAGATAGACAACTTTGTACAATTTCACAGGCGACCCCACTGTCTCTGACATTCGGGGCATTCGGGGTACTAGACTGGCCCCCGTGCGGTGGGAGCAGTAGGCGGGGTATAAACTCTATTTCTACTAAAATATTGACCTTTATCACACCGGTCTCGTAACTTTTCGACATCAACCCGTGGTATCACCCCACCATTATGCAATGAACCGCCATTGAACGATGTATTTTCAAAGTACCTTCTCCACTTTTAAGGAAAGGAAGACAACAACCAAGATCTTATTGTGCTTTTGAGGATCTGTAACTACACCTGATATCCTGTAGACTATTAATTGGCCAAAAATGACCATATTTTACATACCCGCTATCATATTGTGTTATCTATATAAGACTTCTCAAACTCAAGATCCATCTAGAGCTCTTGATGTTATCTATATATTTTGATATATAAAGGTTAATGTGTGCCGTTGATTGGATTGGAATTACTACTACCTATAAGTACTTCAACTCAACTACCATGAAATATAAAGCTTTGAGACTCCGAAATGAAAATATAGACTACTGTATACCATTATCTGAAGATGTTCTGCCAGTTTCTGTGGTTTTTAGCAACTCAGAAAAATTCTTGACTTGTCACATCGCAGTACCATGGCCTTCCGACTGCATGTACTTATTGACCTAATTAACCGGTCAACCAATTAACTTGCCGCCATAGCCTACGGGCTGCATGCGAGTATAAATTAAACAAAAAAACAATTGACTTATCACCCCACAAGGTATCACTCGGTTCTAGGAGTCCCTCTCTGAAGTAACACACCCACTGAGAGAGCACCCCTTTAAAGCCAGTTTTTAGAGATGATAGCCCAGACATATCTGTACTTTCGGCTAACTTGCCGCCCCCAGATAGGCCCAAAAAGCCGAACAAAAAGACTATTTGTTAAAAGAGGAATTTCTCCTGATGCTATCCCTTCTTCTGTTTTCAAGCCAAAAAGGATTGCATAGGGTTAAGGTGGTTGAGGCAACCGAGCGCTCCGTCATTGACAAAGGGCGAAGTGGACAAAAATTACATCCAACAACAAGACAACAGAGTTGAATATAGATAATATATTGTGTATAGATATAAAAGATTGTATAGCAACTAAATTTCCAGTCAGATATTACCTGCCATCAATATTCAAGATTTCATGATCGCTTTGAAACCGGTAATTTACAATTTCAGTGGGGAAAACACTATTTACTAATTGTTCAAGGTCAATATTTGTAACGGAGCCATTTCAACTGTCTGGTGTATGAGTACACACAGGGCCCGGTTACATGCTGAGAGTTATTGTTAGAAGCCAGTTGCACGGTGATATGCAAGTACCGGCAGTGTGGTTAGCTACCAGCTGTTAGAGTAACTACATTCCGGGCGCTAGGAAGGGGATCTATTCTTGGGAGCAATGACTGACGAGTCTATGCCTCGCCAGTATCTAGAAGACCGGCCGGAGTGAAGCTCTGATTGTCCGGTGATCCACTGTATCCTCTGAGCATTGTAAGTCCGCCGAAGGGCAGGGACTATGCTAGGGAAGTCTACAATAAGCGAAAGCTCTACAGCAATGATTAAGCTTACACCTGAGCGGCAGCTCATTCATGCAGGTCCTCGGTTGTGTGGCAACCAAGGCTGCAGGTGTTACAAAGGCTTTGACTAAGGGTGGTTGCCTTGGGTATTGGAAACACCTGCTGACGCTTAGAGAAAAGCGGGGTAGCGGTGGTATTGTTTCCGGTACTGAGGGAAGGCCCACCGGAACTTAGTAAAGGAGTTAGGAGCAGAAATTAGAGGCCTTTGGAGTATAAGTACGCAGGTTCATTCTCGCCCTTCAGTCCTGTTCTCGCCAGTCTTCATCAAAAAGAAAAAACCAAGTTCTTATCGGTAGCAGAGCCCTTAAAGATTATTGAGTTCTAGCGATAGTATCTTTGAATAATCTGCAACCTGATTGTCTATCTTGCACGGCCGTCTCTATTCTATCCGATTCTATTTCTCTTAGAAAGGACCCCCGTTACACTCAGCATGT